CCTGCTGCTACAAATTCAGAGTTTGTATTTATGTCCTGAGAAACGCTTTTTTTTGTTTGTTTGTTTGTTTCACAGGACCTAGATGATATAGAAGATGAAAATGAACAATTGAAGCAAGAAAATAAAACCCTCTTAAAAGTTGTTTCACAGCTGACAAGGTAGAAGATTCAAGCCTCAATGAAGAAAGATTTAAAAACTACTGATTGAACGTTAAGGTCAATATAGTAATACTTCCTGTGTTGCAGTATGTTATAATAACTGTCTTTATATTTATTGTTAGGAAACCAGATGAATGTTTATTTTCGTAGTACTTTCTTCTTCATTTAATGAAATGGCATCAAATTTGGGGTGTGTTTTTAGCTTTCTTTTCACATAAAAATAATTAAAATTTTTGACATATTTCAGAACATTAAGTTCAAAAAACATGTGGGTTTTGTATCTTCAGATTACATCTAGATAAATTACAGTAGTTTAAAATTGATAGCAGCAAGATTACTTTCAGTCCATGTGGGTGTATATTTTTGAAATGAATGGAAGCAATGCATATAAGCTTTGTTTACACAGATCCAAAATATATATTTTGGGAAATATTTCCTTTTTTGTTTAAACAGCTGTAAAGTGGATGCCTTATTATTGATGTATAACATTTTGCAGATTGATTACTTGCTCTAAAACTCCTGGATGTTGAGGGTTTTTTTACCATAGCTGAAAGACTGACAGTAGTAGAGAGTAGTAATTTTTTTTTCTGTATAACAGTATTCTGGCAGGAGGGGGAGGTTTATTAAAAAAAAAAAAAAAAAAAAAAACCAATAAATCACCAGTGGTATCAGCATTAATGAGTTCTTAGGAATTGAAATTGTGCACTGCAGTTTATTTTAAAGCTTTTGCTTTAGGAATGAAATGCAAGTTTGCTATCAGACAGTAAGTTTGTTTGCTGTGTTGAGAATTCAGACAAAGCCTGGAGCTTTCATTTTTGCAAAGACAATTTTGCAATATTCTTTTACTTAAAGCTGTCATCTTAAAATTTGTAGTGATCATAAACTATATGAGTTTTTTGATATTTTAATTTTCTAAGCTGGGTGAAAATTTGTGTACATAGGGAAGTAGAGGCATACAAGTGATTCATGCCCTTTTGAAACATCAAATGGTTTAAAAAAAACCTTTAATCCTTGATTTTAAACTAACAAGATGTTTAAAAAGTGCCTGTTTAGATGTTACAATCCAGTTATGACTGTGTACGGATTCTTCTATAACATGATAGTAGACAAAATTTTAATTCGACATTAACCACAGACCTCAGTTAAAAATTCAGTTAAAATTCTTATTAGGCTGAAATGTGGTGTACTTTATTTCATCTTAATACACCATATTTTTCATTCCTGATCAGAATAAAAGTATATGTCATTTGCGTCAGGACACCAGAAGTGAAAACTTTTTGAAGAGTCCAGGCTTTTTCTTGATAATTTTAAAGTTTGATGTCAGAAAGCTGCATGCATTATAGTTTTTGTTACCTTAAAACTTAAAGGCAACTTTAATAGATAATAACGATCACCTTTTCAGATTTGCCAATTGTTTTCATAATGTGTATTTAATGACTGTAAGAGTTTCTTAAATTTCAAATCCAAGTTATGCTTTGGATTGGTTTGGATATAGGTTATTTTGCATTTGTGTGTTCTAATGAGGAGGAGCTTTCAAAGCTTTAAAGTATTTTTCAAGACATTTATATTCCAGGATGCCTTGATGTTTTCCTTCACAGTGGATGGGACACCATTTAAAACCTTTACTCAGGGGTTTAAATGGTATGGGTGGTTTGTATAGGCCCTCTGAACTATGATATACACCAATGAATATTTCTCCTAATATTATTATTCAAACAATAAGTCCCTTAATTTGTCAGTTTCATGAAATTAAAAATTGAAAGTAATTAAAAAATCACCTGAGATGTGTGCCTTCTGAATAAATATGAAGCTTTCTCTGGAAGAACATCGCGCAGTTCCTTCTCTATATACTAGGTAGGAAATACACATACTGATTTATGGCATGGGATGTCAGACATATTGAAGCATCATTAGGGAGTTAATGCAGAACACAGAGATATTGATATAAAGTTGTAAATAGGATATTTTGTAAACTGTATTTCATGTTTTAAACCAAAGAACAATAACAACAAAGAACATAAACAAGAATTACTTGTCTTCATGTTACCTGTGCTTGGTTTGCATGTGTATTGCCTACAATTTAGCAGCAGTAGCACCAAAATTAGATTTTTCTTTTTTTTTTTTTTTTTTTAAACTTGGACATCCAGCTGACAGGAATATTGAGAACTACTTCTGATACCCTATCTTGAAGAGGTATTAGCAAGGGCAGTTTCGAAATACGTGAAAGCAGTAAAGCTTCAGGCAGAACGTGTGAACAAAGGACCTCTTGGGAACTGACAGATGAAAGTACCTCAGGATGCTATTGGGTTGTGTATTATTATACAAATGTAAAGCTCTTCTTTGTTTTAAAAATTCCCACAAATTGTATCTTGAAGCATAACACTTCTGCTGACAGTTTAGAACATTTAGGTGGCTTTTTGGAAAAAAGTATGTCAATAACAGTTCATTGCCACTTACATTATCAGGCTCTTGGGAGAAGTTTAGTAGATTCTATAAAAAAACAATGTATTAAGTAGAATGTTAATAATTGTCTAGTCGTTACTTGCCATTAACTTTTTATTTCGGTAGGGTACCCTTATAGTCAAAGCTCAAACATAGAATAAGTTTTTATCCTAGGTGATTTGAAGGTGTTAAATTAGCTACCTTAGCAGCAATTCACTAGCCCATGTCCACATCCTCACCAGGCCAACACCTCGATTGCTCTTGGTTGTGTGATACAAAAGCAGACTGCTGTAAGTGGGAACCCACCTCACTTGGGAAGGCTATGTGATTCCTGAGTGAATCCGGCTATTACCATACCTAGGCTAAATTTATTTACTAGAGCTTTTTTGATGGGGTGGGAGGGGCATTAGTATGCAATATTAATTGTGTGGGTACGTCTCTTGGGAGATTTTGGAACTTTCACATCTTAGAATTCATACCAAACTGCTTAGGGCTAGCATCTGTATTTCTGGGTAACTTGGCTCATCTAGGAAATCTAAACAAAAAGTACTCCCGTTGACTAAAGCAAATAACACATTTTTTTTCCAGCATACTTTAATAATGAACAGCCCATAATTCCTATTTTGATAATGCAAAATGATACTCCTGTTATGGTCACATACTGTTGTATAGAAAACATATACTACATCCAGAGGTGAAGGTTAAAATTGTGCAGAAATATTTTTATAATTGATAATATGCACTAATGTTTGTGGGATTTATTCCCTAAAGAAGTTCAACCATATACAGATGTTGGTGGTTTTTACAAGGAAATTCAAAATTGCTTATTTTTAATTTTTAAAATAATTACATGGCCATGTTTAACTTCAGTGTTACTTGATGTATATATTAACTGAAAGAGTACACTGTGTATTTGCAAATGAGTGGTTTTTTCTGTCTTCAAAGTAAAATTTTTCTTGGTTAATTACCAGATTTGTATTTACACATTTGGAGATTAATTATTTCTGTGGTAGATTGGCTCTGAATTTGAGAGTCTACCTCAAGTGAGAAAAGAGGGTAACAAGAAATGAATCTTTATCTTCTAAAGTAGGAAGTATAACCTATTTTTTTTTTTTTTAATTCAGCTGTACTGAGAATTAGCTGTGGAAAGATTTGTGGTAGGCATAAGCACTACAAAAGATATAGGGGTTTTATAGTATGTTGGAAACAGCTGATTAACCTACATCAAAGCTATTTTCAACTTGTCTGGTATCGTTACAGCTTGGAAACTTAAAATAAAATGAGACCAAAAGGAATACTGGAGATCAGATTACTTTTTAACATTTTGCTAGGAGAGCAGAGTTACCCTGACTTCAGCTATTTTATCATTTTGTGTAAGCTCTTTGTGGCTCTTTCCAACAAATCAGTATTAGTAGCCAAGGGAAAGGTAATTATTGGGAAACAAATATGAGAGTAATAACTATGGATACTATTAACATATGACTGAGTATCAGTATTTCTTGGGCTCTGACCCTTTATGAAGATGTCAGGTAAGTCCATTTGCATCAGTATTAATGATCATAAACACCTGACATTTTTAATAAGAAACAACTATTTTAGTTGGAGAAATTACCATCGCAAGCCATGACTTAAAAACTTAGTACAATACAAAAAAAATTGTGCTAGTACCAGTAGCTGCTGAGACTAAGGAGCTAAGGATTATACTTCAAAGTTTTGTTAGAAATGAAACAAATGAATTCTGGATCTTGTCATTTAATTTGATATAGAAGTTCACTACAGATCTGTTCCATGCCAGTCATTCTGGTGTCAATACCTGCAAAAGGTATTGACACCAGCATTTCAAGAAGCATTTCTACTGCTGTTAGTAAGCATTTCTTTAGGACTACTTAAATATATCCAGGACAAAAAGGACTTTGATACGTATTTTAGTAGCATTTATGATCTTCCAAGTATGTTGACTTACTGTACCAAATCTCTTGTCTACCATTTCTCCTTGTACTGTAGCAGATGTAAATTACCTTGTTAATTTAATTATTTTGCTTCTTTTTCTGGATTTCTGGTGTAACTGTTCTTCTTCAGGGCTAGTTGTAATTTTTCTGTTCTAGAAAAATTGTGGTAGTTGAGTTTTTCTCTGAAAATAGTCTCATAATCATAATGTGGACTTTTTTTTTTAATATCCATTTCATGCATTTTAAAAAGTTGAAGCATCATTAACCTGTACGTAATTAAATATCCATTTTAGTTTTGAAGATTGACTAGTTGTGATCTTATTTGTCATACCAGGTTAAAAATGATGTTGAGATTCTTAACTATTGCAGGCAAAAAATACATGTTTAATCTAACAATAAAGACTGTGTGCCTATGTCCAAATAAAACTAAATTGTTTTTAATCCAGGCTGACTACTTATTATGTTTAAAGGAGTATTAATATTGTCTGACTAAAATACTAACTGGATATGTCACTCATACTGGGAAGCTCCCAGCCTGAACTGCTGGAATTATTTTTACATTCAGATTCAGTTCTTCAAGTGTGCATGTGTTTGCACACACACAAGAGAGAAGTCTGCATATTTCCATTGTACTAATTTTCTGCTTCAAGAGTGTAGTGAGTATCCTTCCATCACTTAGATGGAAAGGACCTTTTCTGGTACTTCAAAGTCAGAGTATATACCTTTCTAGGAAAAGGTAATGAAGGATGTTACAGTGCTAATTCTACACAAATCAAGGGAATTGACTTCACAATAGATTTAATTTCGGAAATTTCTATATGAATACATGTTGTATTCTGGACAGGCAGAATCATTAAAGAAAGCCTCCTTTTCATTCATTGCAGCAGACTGCACATAAAGAGATGAAGTGGATCATCAGTAAACACCAGGGATATAGTAACTATATCACAGTTTATCATAAAGCTTGTAATGTTTTAGAAAACAACTTGAAACAAATACCGTAAGAACCCATGCATTCAACACCATGGTTAGTTGATGGATAAGACATTATGAGCGTTTGCACTTAGTTAATTTAAAATGTTAGGTGAATTCGGTTTAGGAATATTACTCCTACAGTTGACTTCCTTTATGTGGCCTTTGAATTTGTTTGGTTTTAAAGTACAAAGGTATGTCCTTCCTCATATTTTGCATTTGGCATTTTAGGCTCTTCAGTCTTGCCGGGAAATTTTTG